TTCCTGGTGAACCAAGCTTCATCATTATGAACTATCTCTTTTATCTCTAGTATTGGTTGTAAAGTTTGTTTTGTGATGTGAATATAGCTAAGCAGCTTTTGTTTGGTATTTCTTTTTTTCCTTTTTTTTTTTTTTTTTTTTTTTAGTGATGCTGGGGTTGGAACCCAGGGCAAGTGTTCCACCCCTGAACTATAATATCCCCAGCTGTCATTAGTATTTATGTGGACATATCTTTTTTCATCCTGTCAAACCAATCTTTCTTTAGTTTCCAATTTAGATGCTTTTCTTGCAGACCACATATAATTGGATTTTTTTGATTTCCAAATCTTACACCTATAATGGGAATATTTAATGTAATTACAGGTTGAATATTCCTTATCTAAAACACTTAGGACTAGAAGTATTTTGGACTTTTTTGGAATTTGGAATATTTGCATGTACATAATAAAATATCTTTGGGATGAGACCCAGTATAAACACAAAATTTATATTTGTTCCGCACTATACACACAGCCTAATTTTATTTATTTTTTATTTTTTATTTTTTTAAATATTTATTTTTTAGCTGTAGATGGACACAACACAATGCCTTTATTTTTATGTGGTGCTGAGGATGAAACCCGGGTCCTGCCTGTGCTAGGCGAGTGCTCTACTGCTGAGCCACAATCCCAGCCCCAGCCTAATTTTATGTAGCATTTTGAGTGTAACTATATTTCTGTGACCTGTCATATGAAATCAGGTGTGAAATTTTCTACTTTTGATGACTTTTTAGTGCTCAAAAACTTTTGGAATTTGGAGCATTTTGGATTTCAGACTTGGATTAGGTACTAACTTGTGTTGATATGTTGTGTTTAAATCTACTATCTTGTTTTCTCTTTTTGTTTTTTTTTTGGGACCTCAGGCACACAGGTTTGGATTAGTCATAATCCTTAGTACATGACACTCTCTTTTAGCTCTTGCATGGTATGCTTTTTATTAATCTAATGTTGCCACCATAAACAAAAGGTAGGATCCTGACAAAAACCTACATCTAACCATATGGAAAACTCACCAATCCATTCCCTTTTCAGATAGCCATCAGTAAGACTCCTGGGTTCATCAGTCCCCTCCTTTCCTTTTAATAGAATTTTATTGTATCTTTAAGTATTTTTAAGTATTTCTCTGTGTACACGCGCACACACACACACACACACACACACATATATATATTATGACATATAATATTTTGGATTTTTATTTACTTAATATTATAAGAGTTATCTATATTGTTGCATGGTGCTGTGCTTCCTTTGTTTTAACTACTGCATAATATTCTTTCCTGTGAATATATCACAGTTTTTCATTCAATAAATTCCTGGGTTGTTTCTAAGTTTTCTTGCTATTGGATTAGTCTTGTGTGTGTGTGTTTGTGTTTCCTGTTGTACATTAACAGGAAATTCTCTTGGGTTTATACCTAGAAGTGGGGTTGCTGGATTATTACCCTTCCTGATTTTTCATCTTTTTTTTTTTTTTTTTGGTACTGGGGATTGAACGGAGGGGCATTTCAGGTTTGTGTCACTGTACCCAGTGTGATAATTCACCTTCAGGAGGTAAGGCCAAAAGGTTTTCCAAAGTGGTTGCACCAATTTATACTCTTATTAGCAATGCATAAGAAATATTGTGGGTCCACATTTCTTCAACCATTGATAGACCTTTAAAATTTTTACTAATCAAATAAATTTAAAACAAGGGCTGGGTTGTGGCTCAGAGGTAGAGTGCTCGCGTGAGGCACTGGGTTCCATCCTCAGTAAAATAAAGACATTGAGTCCACTATAACTAAAAAATATAAAACAGATCTCATTGTGGTGGTTTTGATTTGCATTTCCCCAGTTAGCAATGATGTTGATTGTGGTTTTCATATAATGACTGGTCATATATGTTTCTTCTATGAAATTCTTGTTCATGACTCTTGCACATTTTGCCATTGGGTTGTTTTTGTTCGACTTGTTGATTAGAAATCTTTTATTTAAAATTGTTAATTATAAAATTTTCTGTATTTTTGATACTAAACCTTTGTCAGGTGTAGGTATTGTGGCTACCTTCTTCAAATTTATGTTTTGTCATTTTGCTTTCCTTTTTATTTCTTCTTCTTCTCCTTTTTTTTTTTTTTTTTTTTATTTGGATTAAACCCAGGGCCTCACATATGCTTGACAAGTGTTCTACCACTGAGCTGCACCCTCAGCCCTTTTTTTAAAAGAAATTATTTTGAGACAAGATCTTGATAAGTTGCTCAGACTGGCCTAGAACTTGGAATCCTCTTGCCTAAGCCTCCTGAGTAACTGGGAATATAGGTGTGCACTATGCCTGACACCTCACTTTTTAAAAATTGTCTTTTAATGAGTAAACTATTTCTTTTTTCTCTTGTTTTATATAGTTTATTTACCAGTGCTTTATTTGTATCTTGTTTAAGATATGTTTTCTTAAGTTCTAAAAGATATTAATCTTTTTTTTTTACTTAGAGTATTAACTTATTGTTTAGAAATAAGTCAAACTTAATACTTAACCATAAATAAGGTCATTGTCTAGAGTTGATTTTTGTTATAATGTAAGGGAGGGAATCAGTTAATCTTTTTCCAAATATATAACTGTTTTGTCTCACATCCATGTGTGAACAGCCCCATCTTTCCACATGATCTGATATGCCACCTTTTTCATATATCAAAGATACACATGTATCCATGGAGTTGTTCTAGGCTCATCATTTCACTCCACTTTAATTTCAAAGTAGGTCTTGATATCTACTATGGTTAAGTACTCTTTGGTCTTCTTCAGAAATGTCTTTGCCCTTTTATTCCTCAATATAAATTTAAAAACCCAGTTCAATGGAGATCCTTATTGGGATTTTATCTACTGATTCTTTAAATCATGACATCTTTATAATACTGAGTCTTTCTATCTATGAATGTTGTATTTTTCTCCATTTATTTAGTTCTTCCTTTGATATTTCTTAGTAAAGTTTTACAATTTTCTCTAGAGGTCTTGAATGTAAGATTTAGTACAAGGTCTTTAATATTCTCTTATATAATTGGTGCCTTAAAGTGCATTTTCTTGTTGTTTGCTCTTAGTATGTAGAACTGAAACTGATTTTTACATACTAATCTTATATCTGGGCACATCTATTGAGATGTTAATATGACTAATTTGTGGATCTTCTAATATAAAATCATTCTTGCATATTCTGGATAAATTCAATATGATGGTAGATTGTTACTTTTTGTACACTGTTGAATTTTCTAATATCTTGTTTTGAAATTTTGCTTATGTAAGTGAAATAGGGTCTTTATCTGGTTTGGTATGAAAGTTATTCTGGGCTAAGAGTATAGAGACTATTTTCTCTCCTATGATCTGGAAGACTTTATTTAAAACTGGGTTAACATATTTCTTTTTTCCTTTTTTTATTTTTGGTACTGGGGATTATATACCCAGTCCTTCTTATTTTTTTACTTTGAAATAAGGTCTCACTAAGTTGCTTAGTATCTTGCTAAATTGCTGAGGGTGACCTTGAACTTGTGACCTCCTGCCTCAGCCTCCCAAGCTGCTGGGGTTATAGGCATGTGACACCATACCCCACTGGTATTTCTTGAAAATTTTGATAGAATTTACCTGTAAAATTATCTGGGTCTGTGTTTTCCTTATAGTAATTAAAAATTACTTCTTTGTTTTCTTTAATTATTATACGGTCATTGATGCTTTTTGTTTCTTCTGGAGTCAATTCTTGTAAGTTATATTTTTCTAAGACTATATCCTAATACTATCTTTATACTTTATACGTCATGAAACCTTTTTCATTAATAATAATTTCCATCTTGATTAGTCTTAGCAGTAGGGTTTCTCTTTTGTTTTTTTCCTCAAAGAATCAACTTTTGACTTTATCAAGCTTCTTTATGTTTCCTTTTTCTATTTTATTGATTTCTTCTTTTGGGGGGTATATGTGTTGAACTTTACTTACCACAGAAACTCAGAAATGAAAAAGCTACAAATTTAGAAACTGTTTAAGGCAATATATTAGTTTTGAAGTATTACCTTTGTAATACTTCAGTATATATCCAGTTTTGAAATCTTGGCTGTCTTCAGTTCTAGATATTTAAAGTTGCTATTCTAATTTTCTATTTTAATCATGGGCTATTTAGCAACTTAAAATTGTTTCTAAATATGTGAGGATTTCATCATTGTATTTGTAATGTCTAATTGACTTATGATAGATTGTAGTTTGTCAAGGCTTTCTTTAGGGTTTAGTATATGATTGTTTTTTGTATATAGTTCCATATATCCTTAAAAAAAGTATATTCTCTGATTGCTGCATCTATAAGCCTGTGAATGATCCTGTTGTTTTGATCCCCTTCATATTCTTCCTTTTTTTAATTTTAACTTGACCTATCAACAAGTGAGAAGGGTATATTGGAATCTCCCAATCTCCCACTATGGTGATGGATTTATCAATTTCTCTTGGGTATCATGATGCAAATTTTTGAGGCTGCTTTTTATATGCGTAATGTTTGAAACTTGGAATTTCTTAATAAATTTACCCCCTTTTCCTTCCTTAATAATGTTTTCACCTTCAAGTCTATTTTAGCTGATGTTAATATAGCTATTATAACTTTTTTAGATTGATTTTCACAACATCTCTTTTACTTTCGTCCTTTGCATATTTTTGTCTTATAAGGAGTATATTTCTCATTTTTAAAAAATCCTATCAATATTTTGTTTTTTAAGTGGTTTCATCTATTTATATTTATTATGAGCATTGAAATGCTTGAATATTTCTACTATGTTAATTTGCTGTTTTTGTTTGTAATATCTTTCATTATTTTTCTTCTTCTAATTAAAAAACCTATATGCATCTTCCTTTTAATAATAACTTAGCATTTCTTCATATTCCTTGTGTCTTTCCCTTTCTTCCCACATATTACTGTTACCTAGACTTTTAGTTCTTCATTATTATGGGAATATTTTCTCTTTTCCTTTGGTCTTTGTAATTGTTTTATAAAATCTGTTTACTTCATGTGTCTAGCACAACATCTTTTGAAATTTTTCCCTCCCCATTTTAAGATATTATGTCTAGGGGGCTGGGAATGTGCTTAGTGGTAGAGTGTTGTCTAACCTGTGTAAGTAGCATGCTGGAGGCCCTGGGTTTAATCTTCAGTTTATGTGTGCCAAACTTTCTGCTTTCTGTATGCCTGCTTGAGGTTTTTTTAAATCATATCTTCATATTGTATCTTAGTTGGATAGAACAATCTACATTCTAATTTCATTTTCTTCATAACTTTGAAAATATTACTCCAGTTTTGGCTGTTACTAAATCTGATGTTAATCTGAGTCTTCAGCCTTGACTGAAATCTTTTGGAAGGTATTAGAATTTTTTCTTTGATGTTCTCAGTTTTGACCCTGTGGTCTAACATTTTTATTTATTTCTCATCTTTGCCATTCTGTAGACCCTTTCAATTCAAGGTCTTTCATTTCTTTCATTCGGAGAACTTTTTTTTTTGGTGCTGAGGAATGCTAATAAGCACATTCTCTTCCATTAAACCGCATCCTTAGCCCTCGGAAAGTTATTGTTATTCTTTTTAGCCATTCTTCCTCCTCTCCATTTTTTTTCTTCCTTTCTTCTGAGTTCCCAGCTAAATGTATTATTTTAGTGGCTACCCTAGGAATTACAGTATCCGTACTTCCAATAGTCTTGACCTACCTCCTGGGTAGCATAGGGCCTTCAAGCAGTTACCACCATTTATTTCTCTTCTGACTTAATGGAGGTAACAGTAAATAAATGGAGGTAATAGTCTAAAATTTAAAACCCCATGAGACATTATTATTTTTGTTTATTCACTGTTCATTTAGATCCACATTTTTACTCTTCATTCATTTATACATCTTGGCTCTTTCACCTGGGATTAGTTACCTTCTTCCAAAAGTATATCCTTTAATGTAGATCTGGTGGCCAAGTGAATGTTTGTTTTCCATAGAAGATCTTTATTTCAACTTTATTCTTTAAAGATGGTTTGCCCCGACAATGTGTCTCTTAGCACATGGAAGATCTTACTTGGCTGTTTTCAAGTCCTCAATTTTGTTGATGAAAAGGTGTCTGTCAAAGTGATGTTCCTCAGCTCGTAATTGCTTTAAAAAAATCTAATATTGCCTAATATTCTCTGATATAGTTCCATCAGTCTCACCGTATAGACTTAGGTGTAGAAAATCCTCTGCTATTTGCTCTTCAGAAGTGGTCTCTGTTCCCTTCTAGGACTCTGACTAGAAGTGTTCTGGACACTGCTCTCAAACTTGCATGTGAATGCCCTGGGGACCTTATTGAATTGCAGATTCCCATTCTGTCTGGGGCAGATTATGTACACTAACAAATCCCCAGGGTATGCCAACAAACCTACTCTGGGAACTTCACTAGGGTCACCCATAGGCCTTCTTCTCTAGCTTCTTAGGTTCTCCAGGATGTCTCTTTATGTTACAATGTGAGCATTCACCTATATTCAGGTGATGGATTCATTCTGTTAAAACTTTCCATGAAGTTCTCAACTTTGGTTATTTTCTTTTGTAGAATTTCTATTTTGTTCTCTTCAGAATCTGAAATTACACTTATAATTTTCTGTTTCCTGCAAGTTTTTTTCAAGTTCATTTTTATTTCTCAGTCATGGAAGGATTATGTCCAGTCACCTTGTCTCTGCATAGTATCTCTTCTCTCCAGATAGTTTTACATTCATTTTCTCTGGCTTCCATACTGGGATGTCAGGTGCATGATATTGTTCTTTGCCCACATGTCAACTGATCCCTCCCAACCTTGTGTTTCTTGCTGGGTGGGGGAAGGAGAGTCATTTTCTTGTTTACTGCTCACTAGCCTCCTTTCTGTTTCTCCCTCAGTCCCTGTCCCATATCCCGAAGAGGGCCCCTAACCCTTACTCACGGCAGTGGGTACTTCTTCCACAGCAGTTTGGCTGGCAGAGTCTGATATACTGTCTTCTGCTTCCCATCAGAGCTGGAGCTGCTGGAACTACTGTGCACAATCTTGGAGCATTCCATCTGCTCATCCCATGAGCCAGACAGCACATAGTGGGCCTTGCCCTGGCTGTCACTCACCACTCCGGTCACCTGTGGATATTGGTGGGACTCATATAAGCACACATCCTAGTATTGGTCTCCTGGGGTGCTGGATGGTGGTCCTATTTACCTTTCGGGGTGCCTCTTTGGAGAAGTAGCTGTAGGGAACAAACTTCAGCTGGCACCGATCATTGGTCTTATGGTTCACAATTTCGATATCCCCTGACTGATGAGAGAAGGTAGTGGTCAGTGTCTAATCCCCAGGCCATATGCTCCCCTCCCAAGTGTACCCAGCTCTGACCTGGTCAATCCAGAGCTTTCCCACGATGATGTTGTGCACAGTTGAGGTGCTTTTCCTCCACACATAGTGATTCCCACTGGCCTGGAATTCCAAGTGGATGGCACCTGGAGGCCAGGTACATGTCAGAGATCATGGCCCTGGCATGTGGGGTCTACCACAGGCCCAGGGTCTCGAGAATCAGAAGATATTCGTATGGGCTGAAAGTTGAGGAGTGGGATAGGCCAGGAGGCATGTGAGTGACAGTGGGGAGAATACCTACAGGGAGGTCTCCCGTGAGAGAGCCCTAAGTTGGTTTTTAGGGTCAGTAGTATCCTTTTTTTTCTAGGAGCACACAGATACCCTGCTCACCAAGTGGCATGATAGAGATGTATTTCCCCCGGAACTTGCTGGCGATGGTGATCTCTTGCCAGAGGCTCCAGCCATGCTTGGAGAACACGTAGTGGGCAGCTGAGGGAGGGTGGTGGCTCACCTGGGACCAGACCAAATGGGTGTGAGCATTGCTGGACATGGGCCCATACCATCTTCCTTACCAGGCAGGGACAGACTGCCCTGATTCCAGGACACATCTCTGTAACCACAGGAGCAGGCCTGGCTGCTCCTCTTGGTGGCCTTGGCCCAAAACAGGTCCCTGAGAAGGAGAGAATCCCGAGTGGAAAGGAACCCAGGTGACTGTCCTGGGCCTGCCCCAGCCATAGTAGTATGAGATGGGCCTGGTGTCACTATGCCTGGCTCTTGAACTGTGAAACAGGGGTGATAGTGGAGGCTGTGACTCCAGAATGTGCCTAGAACTGGCTACGTTGAGGGCTAAGGAAGAAAGGGTGATGCTTTACTAAAGCTTCCATGCCCACTTTCTCATTTAACCCTCACTATACACCTGGGAACATGTATGGTATTACATGAAGGGAGAGGGTTCTGAATGGCAAAGCCATTTTAACCAAGGGGCAGAGTCTAGCCTGGCTCAAGGGTAGAAGTCATGTCAGTGTCCTGCCTCAGGCCTCTTCTGTCGCCCATACGTGGCTCCAGCCCCCCTGAGCCTTCCCCTTACAGCACACTTTACCGCTGCTTTTCCCCCTAGGACACCTGCCAGCTGCCCTCTTCTGCCTCATGGCACCGTCAAGTCTATCTTTCCTCATTTGATGCTTGACAGGCTCTGCCTTACCTAACCTCCTTACTCCTCAGAGTACTTACTTCTCATGGCCTTGAACAGGCTCCAAGCCCAGCCTCACCCCTGAACTCCAGCTGCCTCCACTCAGTCAGGTTCAACCTGACCAGAGTTAGCAAGCTCCTGACATCCCATCATGGTCATAGTTGTCCCATTTCCACAGGCAGCATCACCTCCTATGCCTTGGGATTGTAGGCCCAACCTGCCAGCTGCCCTGCATGAAGGGGGGCTACTGTCCCTTAGCCCAGCTATCACCTATGGTGGGGCTACCACACATTCACTAGAGTTATCCCTATGAGAAAATGCAGGGATATGATCACAATGTCAGGATGCGGGAGCCCTGCATTATCCTTACTTTCATCTCAGGCCCATACTGTCTTTCTAGTTGCTCACACCAAATGCTTTGGATTCTCCCTGGTCTCTTCCTCATGTTCCTCATCAAATCTTTAGCAAATCTTGTGTGTCCCTCCTTCAAAACATACCCAAAATCTATACCTTCCCCATTCTTATCTGTACCTCCCCCCATCTCTCCACTGGAAACCCTTGTCTCCTCCTTTCCTCCCTCTCTCTGCATCAAACTGCTCCTGGACCCATCCCCCTTTTAGAAAGAGCCAGAAGTATCTGATATACAAAATGACTGAGCACTTCCTGCAGGTCCCATGAGAACAAGAGCCACATATCCCAGTTCCCCATCTGCATCTTCAACATGTGAAAATATTTGGCACATCTAGGGTACTTAATGGTTGCTGAATGAATGAATGCATTTTATTTAGGGGTTCAGGCCAAGGACCATGGGGTTACCCTTGAATGGCCCAAACTCCATACCCCAAATATCTACAAACTGCTAGATTCACTTTCAAAACCTGGCCAGAACACCCCTATGTGGGTCACTGTAGTCACCTCCTTATGGATTTTCACAGCAGCAGTAGCCTTTTAAACTAGCACTAAGATCAGTGAACTCCAGCATTCTGGGAAAATTCCACGAGCCAGAGCAGCACCAGCACCAATAGAATTAATTGCTTCTTGAATGACATGGACATCCAGGCTCAGTGTCAAAATGCCAAGTTGAGGTTTGTAGACCACTGGGCCTGAGTCTTGCTCATCTCCAGGGGATAGGGTAGAAAAGGGATGACGATTGGTGGGAGGAAGGACACTGGCCAGGGCAGTGTTTATCACAATGTGCATGGCTATTCCAGGTTCTGCCTGCCTGCTACTTTTCAGTTCAGTGGTGACCCCACACTCTGGTCTGCCTGGACTTCTAACAATGCCCTGCGAAATTCCTCCCACCTCTGCCACATGGTTCCCTGGCTGTGAGATGGGACCTCCCCTTTCCTGACACCAGATCCAACACTGTTTCCCACTAAGCTCTCTTTGAATGCCCCTCACTGTTTTCAGGAGGCCCTAGACTTATTCCTGCCATAAAAGGCCCAACTACCCAGCTGGACCTCAGCTGATGGCCCCTAGCAGGAGTTGCCCAGTACCAGCCTGCTGGGCCTTACCTGTTCACAGAGGGAGCGCAGGCCCATTTCCTCCATTCGATCCAACTCAAATGTCTCCCCTAGCATGGGGTTGAAGGGCTTGGCGATGCGGTGCACAGTGGTGGAGTAGGAGGACACAGAGAAGGCAGCCACTAGGCACATCTGCTCCACTGAGTTGGCGCAATGCACTGCCTTGTCTAGAAGGTGGTGGTACTCTAAGTCCTCAGTCAGCCGCTGGAGCATGGATAGGGGTTCATTGAAGTTCACCTGTAGGTGAATAGGGAGGAGGGAAGATGATCAGACCAGATTACTCTGAATATGCACATCATGGCACCTCTGTTTTTCTCAGACATTGAGGGACATAGCTGATCTAATGATACTTTCACAGTGAGGCCCCTTTAACAACCTGGCTGTCTAGTACCTCAGCCCTACCCTGTTACCTCCCTGGTCCCTTCTGCCTCAGTTTCCTTTGCAGCATAAAAATAGCATATTTTGATGATGTTTACTGTTACTTTTCCCACTTTGTAAATGCCTCAAAGGCCAGGGCATCTGACTTGCTCACTACAGTTATGGTGAGTATTAAACTATTGGAATCAGAGAGTGAATAAGTAAATAAGGAAATTTGTGGATAGAAAAAGTGGGGATCTTCCTCATAGTCTGAACTGTGATCTAAGTTTTTCTGTCAAGGGCTCCTGTGGAGGCCCCTGTGCAGGATGGATAGAGCTCAGAGCCCCTGTCAGCCTCTAACAGGGTCACCCTCCCTCCAGAGTATTCCCTGTTGTTTCACTCCATTCTCCCAGACATTCTGAAGAGGGTGCTGTGATTCCACTGTGCAGATGCAGACAGGGGCTAGAGATGTGAAAGGACTTGTATGGGTCACCAAGCAAACTCTCTGGCCTGGTGCCCCAAGCCTGCTCTTGGCAGAGATGCTATGGCAATCTGGTGATACAAGGACCCCTAGGCCTGTCCTTGGAACTCCAGTGGCTTTGCTGAGCCTCCATGTCCTGGGAGGGCACTAGAGATGGCCTATAGTATGAAGGAAGACTACTCTTCTATACGCAAAGCCCACTCCCCTTTCACCAAGTCGGGACAGCTGGGATAATGTGAAGCCTGGTCAGGGTTCCCTATATCTGCATTCACACACAGCCCTTCCCTGTCTCTTCCCTTTGAGACTGAGGACCCCTGCTCTTTGGAGGACTGGCCGATGCTGTCAGACATAATTAAATAGTTACATGCTCCTCAGGTACCATTAAGGAAATGACACTTTAGGGCTGTCATATCCCAGAGGACTCCCACAACTGCCCTCCCCTGAGCTGCCTACCGGCATAGGGATCTTGGAGAGCTCACGGCCGATGCAGTTTTTCATGATGCTCCAGAGGTTAAGGCTGTAGTTGGGTTTGTCAGGGATACGGACACGCCTCTTGACTTTGGATGAACCCTTGGACACAAATGAGGCACTATCTAACACCTATCAGAGAAGCAGAGCAGGCCTGTTAGTGGACACCAGAGCTCCTTTGATCCCCATGTCCTTGCCCTCACCTCTGAACTCCCCAGGGGCTAGTGCCAAGTTGGCTGCTGGTACATTTCTGACAGGAAGGGCAGCTTTGCCTGAATTCAGCTTTGCCTGAAATGTTACATAGGAGGCAGATCCAGGACTCAAAGGTGGCCAGAGTTCTTGGATTGCCCCTGTGGCCCCAAGCTCACTGTACTGGCTGGCTTCTCCTCATAAGGAACCCAGAGCTTGGCCCCAGGCCAGGAGCCACCTCACTTACATTGTCTGAGCTCCAGTCCACTGAGCTTGTTCCAGTTCCACCTTCAGCTTTTCTGAGGGAAACAAATGGGGAGGCAAATTATGGGTGAATCTGAAGCCACTTTGTTATCTAGCCCACCTTTCCTCCAGACTCTTTGGTAGGATATGAGGGACAAGGCAACTCCAGTGTGCCATCTCAGATTCAGGATATTGAAGGTGGGGATAAGGGGCTCCGGCAGGGATCTGGAGATGTCCCATCCATAGGTACCCCTCTACCCCAACTGCAGCAGGCACTCAGCAAAGCCTTTGGAGTCCCTGCCCTCAGGCCCCTCCTGGCAACTGAGTGACCCAGGAACAAGAAAAAGCCTGGGAGTGGACACTTGTTCTGGGATGGCCTCATCTAGCCCTGTGGGCCCCTTTCTATCCCACACAGACCCCACTGTATCTGACTCCCAAACTAGACAAGGGTTCCTGAAGGGCAGGGAGTGGGTCTGATACATCCCTGTGCCCCTGAGAGTTGTAGAGTAGAGGAACACAGCAACAGGGGTACCATGGCTGAGGAGCCCAGGATCAGTGGAAGCTCATGGAGGGGAAAGCCGGCCCAGATAGGGCTCCAGGCATGGGAGGGAGGGGTGGACAGAGTCTGGAGGGGTGAGGCAGCCTGAGCAGGACCTTCCTGGCTGCAATGCCAAGAAGGAAATATTGCTGGTGAAAAAGTGCAAGGAAGCTCAGGATGGCCAAGTGAGCTAATTTGTGACTAATGTAAATAATTTTAGATATTACTGGGAAATAGAAAATGACTCTGGGCTAGAAATACATGGCTGATGAGACTTGATAGGCTTTTCCATAGAAGACACTGGGATAGGTAGGTGTTAAAGCTCAGTGGCCCATGGAGGTCCCAGCTACAAGTAGAAATGGAGTGGCTAGGGCTTTGCACTAGCCTACTCACCCCTGACTTGGCCACAGCTTGTGCCCAGCCCACCTGCCCATCTCTTGTTTTTCTCTCTGTACCTGTTGGTGTGCTGGCACCCACAAAAATTTCCTGTGGCTCTGAGGGTCTGACAGCTACGTTTTTATTGCTAGTAAATGTTCTGGTCTCTAATGTATGTTTTTATGTATATTTAGAAACATCATCAAAGAGCAGGTGTTTATGAATAATGAAAACAAAGTTTGGAAATAGATGGGACTCCCTGCATCTTTCATCTGTTCTCAAATGATGACACTATGGAAGGAGTGGTTGGGGCCTTATGCTGCTCTGAGGCAAGGATGAGCAGCTGAGGCCTTCTGGGTCTTTTCTGAACCCCAGGCTGGAACTGGATTCAGTCAATGCTTGGTTCTCTCTATTTTTAATTAAGTGCCTGATGCAAACTTTGACTTTTTGATGCAAGGAAGAATAGAATATAAGCAAAAATACCATCTGGATAAAGTTTATAGCTGGTCAAAAGACCAGATGGAGCCAGAGAACACAATAGAAAAGGATGATTCTGGAGGAGGCTTCTCACAGGTTACAGCTGTCCCTGCTGGGAGTAAGTGCCCACCTGTCTTCCTTGGGCTGGGTGATCACGGTGATGAAGGATGTGGAGTCTTCCATGGCATCAAAGTACTCGGTATCTTCATCTTCCTCACTGTCCTCTCCTTTGGAAGTCAATAGGCTTCCTAGAGATACATATAGAGCCACTATCTCAGTTTGCAACCTCTTTAAAAGGGCTTATCCTGCTGCCTGAAGAAATCCAGAGCCAAGGACTTGGCTCTTCCTGGCCCCACTCCCCTAACCCCTTATGCCATCTGTCCCTGACACAGGCACATGTGTGTGGGGGTCAGGGTGTGCAGCAGAAACTAGGTGGAAACAGCCGGGGAGAGGGAGACTGAGGGTGGAGGGATGGAACAAATCCTGCTGGTCACTGCTCACCCACTTACCCTCGCTGAAGCTCTTGTTGGGGTTGGGGGGCCGGCCAGGAGCGCTGCGGAAGGCCCGCTCAAGGCTGTTGTGCTGCTTGGCCAACTGTTCAATGGTTTCTTCCAAGTGGACACGCTGCTCTTGCTCATACTGCAGTGCCCGCTGCCATTTCCGGCTGTGTGTCTCAGCTAGTTCCAGGAAGTCCTTGCAGGCCTGGGAAGGACAAGTGGCCTTGTGAACTCTAGGCTTATGTAGGGGCAGGGAGGGGGCCCCTGGGGTTGCCATCTAGTTTCCCTTCCTTTTGCCAGGATGGTCAAAAACATGCCCACCACCCTCTGGTTTCCATGAAAATATGGGAACTTTGGCCTTTTCAGAGTCAACCCAGGAACTGGCACCCCCTGGTTGGCTGGCCTTAGACAGAATGCCATTTGGACAGTACCTGGTTGGCGTGCTGCTTCCCCACAGGAGCCCCATGTAGCTGGAGGATGCTGGGTTATTGATCATCACAGCTGGAGCTCCAGCTTTCTGCTGCCATGTCCTCACTGTGCACAAGGACTGATGTTTGTCGCCAGTCCCTGCGCCCATGGGAACCCAAGGCAGCTCAGGCCAGCCCCAGGCTTTGTGCAGAAGGAAGGAAAGCCACATTCTGTTATACTTCCTGGCCCAGAGAGGTAATAAGTCTTGTCTGGTAGAAGAACTGGGACTGGAAATTTCTACCAAGTTACTTCATAGTCTGTATCACATAACTCTGCTTTTAAGGTTCCCCCTTCATACTTGTGGCCTACTATGAGATTCAGATTCTTTTCAGTCTTCCATATAGGTGGTTCTACCACACTTTTAAGAATTGGATAGGTCATCCTGTCCCTGTTATTATAGCATAGATGAAGGCCCAGGCCTCAGCTATTCCTGGAAGGAGCGAGGTCCAAGCCAGAGATGTCTGAATTTATTCTTTCCTAATTCCTTCTTTAACCCAGGAGGAGGGGTTGAATTTCCTGGGCCCAAGTCTGCATAATACTCTTGGACTGCCACCCCAAGTACTGCTTTCCTAGCCCTTGTTGCAGTCACCCACAAGGAGGAACACTGCTGGGTTCCACAAATGGCACATGCTGTCCAACTCCGCAGGTTTGAGATGTGATTTCTTGGAGGGAGACAGGCACATGAGCCCCCATCTGTGACACAAGGATAATACAGCACTTTCTCAAAGGGCTGTTGGGGAAACAGGGCAGTGATAAGATTGATGGAGGGAGTGTTCAACAGATAAGCCCTCATGGGCCACCAGCTGCACCTGCATAGGCCCTTGGTGCTCACACTTTGAGTATTATCTCTGGTGGCTCCTCATACCTCCCTTGCTTCCAGCCCCAGGAAACTGCACAGTCCCACCATAGTCAGGCCTGCTCAGACACCAGCCGCCACTACAATGGTATATTGGTGAGTTTGGCCAGCCTCTCTAGCAACTGTGTTTGTCTCTCTTCACAGTAACCCTCTTTCCATGAGATCCCTGAAACTCAGCAGGTACTGCAGTTCATGAGTTGGCTGAGTGACACCCTGCCCAGGGACTTGGATTGATGGGAATGGAAGGGGTGGAGTATCCTGGGGTTTCCTCTGGGGAGCAGAGGCAGACCAGCTCAAAGTTGGTAGGCATCCAATGGCTCTGAGTCAGGCACCCTAACAGAGCTCAGGTGGTTTGCCCAACCCACAGGGACAGCCTGAGCACTGGTGGAAGGTCTGGCTTGGTGATAAGGGCTTCTAGTATGAGACTTAAGGGGGCTAATTGCTCAGCCTTGACCCTGATATATGTTTCCTTTAACAGTTGTACTCTAGGCATCTCCCTTCACCATCTCCCCACTAAAACTCATGTGGATTAGGCAAGGCAAGGTTGGCCCCCGTCCATTCAGAAGAGGTGCAGACAGGGTCTGGAAATGGAGTGTGACCTTCCCAAAGAAATCAGCAAAACATAGTGGAAAAAGGCACATTATCCGGATTTGGAAGACCTGAGTTCTGGCAAAGCCAGTTAGAACCTGACTTGAGTCCTGTCCACCTTTCCCCAAAAAGTCCTGGTGTTGGTCCCCTCCCTACCACACCTAGGTAGGTATTTATACTGATAAATGTCCTGGCACAGAATGGGGTGGGAAGAGAGAGCTTCTTGGGCATGGAAATAAATCTCCTTATCTCATGCGCTTAAAAGGTCCTGAAATTGGGAGAGGATGTGTTCAGAGGTTTGAAGGTCTGGGGATATTGTGAACTTGCAAATCACGGGTCTGTAAGACTCCCTTAGGTGCAAAGCTTCAGTCACTGGCTACCATGCAGTTTGGAGATACAGCTCCAGGACTGACTCTATTATTCCCTGGCTTGTCAGCTGGAGCCAAGGCCTTTAGTTCCCTTGGCTCTAGAGTGATTTCCCTGCCTCATCTAGAACCCCATCTCTCCTTCAATGCTGTAGGCCTCAGGGTGGGGGAATCTGACAGCAGACGCAGTGACAACATGCCCCAGTGGCCAGACCAGAAGGCACTTCTTTGCTGGTTTTGTGCCAGTAGGTACAAGAGGCAGTGAATGGGCAGAGTATCCCTCTGGGTACCCCAGGAATGTTCCAGACCCCCTTAGGATCCCTGTGGATAGACACCTTCATCACATTCCAAGATGGTGGACCCAAGGCTCCAAAGTCACATGGCAAGGAAGCAACAGAGTCTGATTGAAACCCAGGTCCTCAACCCAGAACTCAGTCTACCTCCTACCTCAGACTGCTGTTTCCATAAGACTCATGTCCCCATGTTACCCTTGTTTCCCCACAGCCTTAAGTTTGGCCATAAGGTTCACTCAAGTATGACTCAGTCCCTGCCACCCTTTTGCTGACCAAAGGAAGGAGTTCCCACACAGCTGGGCTGCTGTTTCTGGGCCACCAGTCAGCTATGCCACTGACCCAGGCAGCTGCCAACCCAGCCTCACAGCAGGTACAGAATGTACTTAAGTAATTCACTGAAGAGCACTTGTGGAGTACCCACATCTCCCTGGGCAGGCCTCTGGAAGTTCTTGGAAACTTTACTGATTCTTTGTTTTCTCTTCATATCCCCTGCCTCCAGACCTGAGGACCTGGGAGAAGGGGCAAACAGGATGGAGTCTCAAGTTGGCTCCATCCACATAGCCAGGCCACCTCCACATGAGAAAGACCATACAAGGTCCTCTTGTCTGTGTGGAACCCTGCTACAGCTGAAAGAGAAAGATGCTTCATTGTTTCCAGGTTCTTGCTGGTCTGTGGGTATCCCTTCTGGAGGCCTCTTGCTCCCTCAGCCCTAGTGTCTACTCCATCACTTCCTGTCAATCCTCTATAGCCTCTTGGATCCTCTCTTTTTGTATGAATAGTGACATAGATGGGTGCTTTGCTCTCATATAACTCATATTTAAAACAAAATTTAAAAGAACTGCATTACAACAGTATAAAGGAGTGCTCAGGCTAGTGATTCATATCAAGGGTTATCTTGGCTTCTTAGAAGCAAAAGCAAAAGCTACTTGGGAGGCTCAAGCAGGAGGGCTGCAAGTTCAAGGCTGGCTTGGGTAATTTAGCAAGACTTGTCTCAAAATAAGAAATAAAGGGTTAAGGATGTAGTTCAGTACTGCAAAAGAAAAAAAAAGAAAGAAAAAGAAAAGCAAAAGCAAAAAGATGAGATCACAGAGCAAAGATCGAGGATGAATTAGGTTCCTTACTTTCCCTCATCTCCTACCCTCACTGTTTATGGGTTTTACATACTTAATAAATTATCATTTTTTTCTTTAAGGGAAAATGTGTTTCCTACAGACCTGAACAGCTGACAGCCTCTCCCAGACCTGGCCTCAGTTCTTCCCCAGCTCATCTCCTGGGCTCCATTGTTCCCCAAGCCCTCAGGTGTGACCCACTATGTATGTGCTTCTTGCTCTTCCCTTATTGATCTCAAACACATCTGGTTATTCTGATGTGATCTCACCTCCCCAGCTCCCCGCACCTGCTTTGCTCAAGGAGGAAATGTAGGCTCAGTGAGGCCAAGGTACTTGCCTGAGGCCCCAAGGAGGTATCTGCAGGGCCAGGATCTGAGTCCCTGTATGCCTCACCTGCATGTCTCCCAGGGCATGAAACCAGTGTTGCTATTTTATTTTGTAAAGCCAGATCTTTATTGCTATCTGAGAGCCCCTGGAAGGCAGAGATATAATACCCATGGGATCTCATGGCCTTTCTGATGCAGAGCTGGGCTCCTGGAAGATGCTTTCTAACAAGGATCCCTGTTTAAGCAATAGGGCCCAGCCCTGACCTCAGTGGGAGGAGGTTGCCTCCTTCGGGGTAACAGGATGCTGGCTGATACCTGACCATCAATGATCTCTATCTACCTCACAGCCTGAGTGGTGCAATGTGACAGGGAGAAGGAAGTCAAACACCCTGGACAGTTGAGGCCTCATTTAGGCCACATGTGGCCAGGATGGGCTCATGCAGATCACAGACTGTCACAATCACCTGATGAAGTAGACAGGATGGCGGTTGCTCTGTCCTAATATTGAGAGGCTCACATGTGTGGACCCAGGGCTTTTGACATTGTCACTGGTGGGGGCGGGTACTTGTAGCAAATGAGCTTCCTTGGTTACCCTGTGATCTGAAGAAGTCCATATGTCCTCTCTACCCCCAATGCACCCACCTGGTATCCATCCCCAATTCCCAGGGTCTCCTCTGCTGCTGCTGGCCACCTCCAGGCCCCATCCTGTCTGCACTGTGAAGAGAAAGCAGATTCCTGGCCTGGCCCTGCTTCTCTGGAATGCTGAGCTGGGCAGTGCCCTGTGGACTATGTGTTTGCTAAGCTGGATTAAGCCTGGGGCCCATCTGGGCACTAGCAAGGGGGAGGCTTCCAAGGGCCCAGAGAAGGCCTGGCTGATCCAGGCAAGACCTAAACATGATCATTTCCACTGAGGTTCTATGACAGCTATACCTGGGGATAGAAAGCTGTGCCAACCTCTTAGTAGGAAAGACTTTAGCTGACCCAGAACTCCCTACCCAAACTATACATGTCCTGAATCATTTGAGGGGTACTGATGGACTCAAGCCGATAGCCAGAACCAGTGTTTGGACCCTGAATGAGTGCTGCCTTATTTCCCACTCTAGAGTCGGCCCATAACCTACTCCCAGGACTTGGCATGGAGAGGCTAGATCCCAGGACTCTGTACACAGTTCATGATTATGTAACTAATTGGGTCAGTTG